AACAACTGCTGCTGTAGCTCAGAACAGTTAACTTCAGCAATAATTCTAACATGGAGCTGAGTTTGAAGCTGATCTTTGAAATTACAGCGCGCAGACTGAGTCTGCAACTGAAGAATGAAGTCTCGGACAGACTGATTAGGACCACGAGTAAGGCAATGGAACTTCGCTCGCTCAGCTGCTTCGAAGTTGACTGGCTGGAAATGCTTTAAAAACAGATCCTTGAGTTCTTCGTACTTCAGTTGTATTGGTGACTCTGGGGATGCCAAATTTTTAATCAGCGCATAAGCTTCCTTCCCAACAGCTGAGAGANTAAAAATGAACTGATCACCTTTTGCGGTGTCTTTGTCAATCAGTATGCGTACAATTGCTACTTGCTTGTTAGGGATCATCAATGTTGTGTGCCTCTGGGAGGCAATCATCAGATTCAAGCCCCTCACCTGCCCCCCTCACCCGTCCCCGGAACTTGAGATTTTGGTTCTTTCGAGTATTTTACTTGGGCCCAATGGACTCCATAGTAAGTGTACACGGGAGGTTGAGGATTATGCAGCAAATGGCTTTTTATGGAACATGGTGAAGAAGACATAAGGACGTGTGAGAGTGTGTTTGTGAGGGAGAGAGGGTTAGCGCTTGTGTACTGAAACGGTAGATCGACAGTCAGACATCGTTTGGTGCAACGTAAAGGATTTTAAACAGTCCATTTAAAGCAAAGGTATGTTCTATAGTCTGGAGTTTGGTTGTATTTCTACTCCTAATCTTCAAACGGGTGACAAAAAAAAGAATATGAATTTGATAAGCATTTTCAGAATAATTGAAGTACATGGAGCACACGTGAATAGCACGTGATTAACCGATGCATAACGCTTAGCCAGAAACACATCTGTACTCGCGGAGCACATGTCCACTAGGCCACAGTGTACACAATGATGAATGCGACGACAACGCGTTTGACAATCAATTTTGACGGATTTGCACCGAAAGGCAGTTATTTATGGTGTTTATAAACTTCTCTGGCAAGTAATTCGTATCTGGCAGAATTGTGGTGCGTTTGTGAACCAATGAAGTTTAAACGTGATGGATTTTCCAATATTTAGTTCGTTCTCGATACACGTGCATAGTGGATAACACTAATACTGGCGGGNTAATATCTGACGATTTCCAAGGAAAAGAAAATAACCACACAGAAAATGATTTATGCATCTCTTTGATTGATAAATTTCACTTTCTGTTTGCATTTCATTGAAGAGATATTTGAATGCCTCTTTCCGGTCACACCCCGGATAAACCGGGGAACACGATTCCCTACATTCACAAACTGTGCACCGAAAACCGGGTAGGTAGACAAAGAGTGCAGGACATTTATTCTTTCACGAACAATTGATGACCATTTACCCTGTTACGGAAACTCGTGTAACGTCCGCGCAAAATAAAGCACCAAGTTACCGTGGAAAGTTTCTCCCACAGTTTATCACCTCGGTGAATGGATTGTTTCATTAGTTCCCACTCTTGTCACGCTCATATAAATTTATCGTGTGAAAATAAAAGCAATAAATCTCTCACATTGAAATTAATCATCAAAGCACTCTTTGGTACTTTGTTTAGGAGCTCCACTGTTAGCGGTTAGTAGTTTATCGATCTTCACATCTCGTGGAGTATGCCCCTGTTGCTCTGGGGGTGGGATGATCAATTCAGCCAAGTGTGGACGAAACCAACGCCTAGAGCCAGTGTCAGGGATCATTTAGCATGAACAGCGCTCAGTTGTGATGATCTAAAACCGTCCAAGCCCGGGGACAAGTAACTCAGATTGCGTTATTCGCGATCGCGTTCCTTTCTATGCATCACAGATAGGTGACAGTAATGAAATTATATTGTGCAAACCCATGTTTCTGACTTCTCTGTTCATAGATGAAACTGTGCCTGATTGGGTAGGGATTGGGTTAAGAAATTACCAAGAAATGAGGAAAACTGAGGACAGATTTCTTTCTTTCGCGCGAGGAGGGAGGAACACCAGATTGTGAGTAGTGCATTCAGCGTCAGGTGCACGGCCGTATTGGTAGAGTATGAGTACCGTACTGGCTCCGCTACATACGGGACCTCAGGGCTGGTTACTGCGATCTTTCCACACAGTTCTCCCATCTGTTTTTCACAGGGTTTTAGGTTACCCCCTTCGTTCTTTTGGTGGTTGAAAATTTCCATGAGTTTTTCGATATTGTATATTTGAGCATGTTTGATTCTTGTCGTTTTCAATATATCTACTGCAATGTGCAATATTTTTGATTGCTTTTTCTCACTCTCGAAGTGTGTTTAAAAACCACAATTGATCAATTACCAGTTGCCAAAGAGGAAGGTTTAAATGACGTTTCATGTATAATGGGGTCGTAAAATGTTTTCTGCAGACCTCTCATGCACCGATTCCTACGCATGCTGGGAGCACATTCTCACCGGCGTCTATCAGAAGTTACAAATGGAAGACTGTCAAAGAACCAAGCATTCAAAGATATGCATCAACTCCCCATTGGTCGCATTTCGTTCCCAACAGACATAGGGGACTGCTCCAAGAGAGCGAATCACGAAAGATGAGAATTCGCCCCACAAGTAAGACGATCATTTGGTTTAAAATGGAATGTGTTATCATGCTCCTCTTTTTGGGTACTCAATTTATTGTTGACCTAGGAATATCACAGATCACGTATCACACTTTCCTGTCAAGTTTGGTGAACAGATTTCGTATATTTCCTGTAAACCTAAGAGCTTGATGTATTAGAGTTAACTTGATCCAGGATCAGAAACATATTTAGTAAAAAACGGAACTTCCTAACCAAATGAGTCATCACTAAGGAAATACATTTTGGGGGTTACTTCAAAATGTCAGGGCATAAAAAAGGGAAAACAATAAACAAATTTAATCATGCAGTAGTATTCATTGGATTAGCATCAATAGATTCAAGTACACATATAAACGCAAGGCTTTATGGTGCATTTTAACCCGAAAAAAGCCCTTCGACTGCGCCTCTCAGCGTCTGATCAAGAAGGTGTTGATATTGCCTTCAGCGCCAAGGTCGAGATTGCTATATTGGGTTGGATTCCGATAGATAGCCGATTATGCGCAGTGAAACTCAGAGATTCAAGTAATTTCAAAAAGCAGAAACCAAATAAACGACGCTTATTCGTGATTTCTGCATACGCTGCAATAGACTGTAGCCCGGATTTAATCAAGGATGCCTTCTATCACAACCTACATGAGCATCTTTTCCAAGCACCTAAGAAGGGGATATCGTGATCCTGGCCGGAGATCTAAACGAACGCGTTGGTCGTCTGACACCCGAGGAACTTCACCTTGGTGGCCTTGAAAGCTGTCGTTCAGATAATGGGATAGACTTCTTAGCATATGCTCAGAACACGGTATGTTCCTTGTTGACACGAACTTCAGACACTAAGAGACACCTCGACACCTGATGTAACCGCTTTTCGGCACAGACGTAGGGTCAGGTTGATCATATATCTATTAGCTATAGATGGAGAGGATGTGTGAAAGACTGCCGTTTGTATTGGTCTACCTGCTTGGACTCCGATCACTCACTGGTTTGTGCCAAGTTGTCTATGCGATTTGGTAGCCACAAGATGATGCGATGCAAACGGCTTGACGTCGCCAAGCCCTCCGACCCGGCGGTACTGGCCGATTACCAAAACGAGTTGGCCGCAAGGCTAACTACTATCCCATCAAGAAGGGTACATCAAAACCAGACAATCATTCAAAATGCAGTGTACTCAGCCGGTTTACACAGTTGTGGCCTGACCCGCCGAGTTGTAAATCACTGGGTCTCCTCCAACTCTCTCAGACCCCTTGACGTGTAGGGACAATCCCTTCAGACCGAGAGCACAATGAACAACGCCTCTCTCTGAAGCGTGAACTCACAAAGAGCTTGAGAGACGACCAAGTGACCTGGTGGAGGCTACATGCAAAGGAGATGAGTGAGAAGCAAATCCGCGAGGAGCAGGCCGGGTTTCGTGTATGCCGTGGATGCATAGATCAAATCTTCACCCTCCGTCAGCTACTAGAACACCGCCACGCAACAGACGACAAACCACTGTCGTGTTTTTAGACATCAGAGCGGCTTTTGCGGAGATACGAAATGCCCGAGAATTGTCTCACTCCTAAAAGCGCTCTGTCACTTGACCTCGGGGAAGGTTAGAGCTTATGGAGAATTTTCACCCTCATTTTCTGTCACCAGTGGGGTGCGACAGGGTTATCCTATCTCTCCGGTTCTCTTCAACTTTGCTAAAGATGATGGTCTACAAAACGCGCTACATAACGTAGCAAACGCTAGCGTGGAGCTTCTTCCAGAAGACAAAGTTGTAGACTTGGAGTATGCCATAGATATTGCCTTACTTGGTGATAAAGCACAAACAATTCAGGAGCCGTTGAACCGTTTGGCAATTGCGGTTACTCCCTATGGTATGTCCTTTGCACCTTAAAACTGCAAAGTGTTGCTGCAAGATTGAAAGAAACCCAGTCCTGCACTTTCGTTGGGTACTGGCACGGAAAGCTATGTTTACCTTGGGAGTTGCATAACGGCTGGCGGAGGTGTGGGCGAGGAGATCTCTCAACGCTTGATCAAAGCTAGATTAGCGTTCGCTAATCTGCGGCAAATCTGACGCCGGCGCGACATATCCCTCTCACTGAAAGGGTGTGTGTATTGCACAACGGTACCCTCTATGGCTGCGAGACCTGACCTCTCCGAGCAGATCACGTCCAGCGACTATCAGTCTTCGACCACCGTTGTCTGTACAACACCGCCCACGTATGGTAGGAGCATCGCGTGAATAATGTTGAAGTCAGACGAAGGTTGCTAGTATCAGATAGTCTTCCTTTGAGCAAAATAATTTCACAGCATCGTCTTACGTGGCTAGGGCACGTCCCAGGAATGCCTGAACAAAGTCTGCCACACCGTGCACTATTCGCGGATATCGGTCCGGACAGGAAGAAGCAGCGAGATGGACAGCCTATGGCGTGACGCACAGGGTTAAAGAGACTGTGCTCGAATCCGGCTTCCGTTGGGTTTCCCGGCTCCATGGCTGGGAACACTTTGAGGTATGGCATCGAACCAAAGTCAGTGATGTGAATGTATTTTCCCCTTTGCGCAAAAATGAACAAAAACAACCAAACTGAAAACTGCGCGAGGCAAACAAACCACAAATTTTTTATCCGCTTAAGTTAACCGTTTTGTTTCCTTCGCTTTTGTACCCGTATAACCCATGGTTATTTTTGGCGTCGTATCTGTAAATATTGGTGTTAAATATAAATATATATATTTGAATGATGCATTTCCTCACCTGAGCCGCTAAGCAATTGGGAATAAGTTTAAGATAAATTATCAACGGAAGTGCAACGCAGAGCTCAAGACAGTTCATCCATTCCGAAGTTCATAGAGCCCGATCATTTTTTCGAGAAACAGACCAAAGTCTATCCAGAGGTGATCACGTTCGCACATTTGATAATCGCTCGGTGTGTAACTATTGCATAGCTTGTTTGAACATACGTCTAACGTTAGCAATAAGATCTAACAAGTACTAAGTCCAAAACACAAAACGCTCGGAAATGGCAAAACGTTTCACTGCCCATTTCGAGCAACACTTCTCTCGCTATTCACGATGAATTTGATTTCCATAGAGAAACCTACAGATGGGTGTTACGTTGCTGTCAACACTATCGCGGTTCCCACCTCTTTGTACAAATCAATAGCTCCCAGGATCGTAGTTGTTCACGCTCATTACTACAATCAAACCATTTCCCGCTTGTTTATTCACGTTGAAATATCTGCGGACAATCTAAACGACGCTTTTACTGTCTGTGACTTCTGTTCTCTATTTAAAATAAGCACAGTATAGTACCGTTTGTGGTTGAAGGATGCTGTATTTGAACAGGCACTGCCAGCAAAAATACGGAATCGGAAATGACCGGTCTCAGGGTTGTTGGAAGTCATGGAAGTCATCATCACTTGAATACGATTGCCAATAAATTGAAACAAATAAGTGGAACTGGTTAATTGTCAATCCACTTGATAACGACTTTCACAGAGAGTGGTGATAAACCGATACCCTATGGTGCACCGTTGTGCATCTTTCTGCTGTGATAGAGATTGGGGAAACCTGGGAAGGTGACTTTACAGTCATTGCCTGCGTCCTTCCCTTAACCTTTTATGCTTTGATGAACAATATTGTTGACGAGCAGGGTGATGCCTGATTGAACTTGCTTCTATGTACTAAAGATGTACAGTTCTGTTTTGATGGAGATTTTTATCGTCAAGTTGAAAAATTTGCAATGAGGGAGGTGCAATAGGGCCGGTCCTGGCTGATATCTTCATGAGAAGCTTGGAGAATATGAAACTGCGACATTGCATACGGCATACACACTTCTTCTGCGGTCGTTTTGTGGATGACACATTACTATTGGTGACTGACAGCGCACTGCACACAAGTAAGGATTCACGGTGTAGCACGAAACCGAATCTTCCTTCTAGTTCCTGGATGTCAACTTGATGAAGAAACGGGATAGATCTCCCAGTAGGTTTATTTTCAACCACCCGACTTGGACGGGTCAGTATAGTAATTGTAGAAGTTTCCTTCCTCTCTGACACGAACGATCCTTGGCACACACTTTGTCCTCTATAACTAGGCTAATCTACTCCAGTGGGACTTTAGCGTTAGAGTTTTGCTGCACATCCACGGCATTGCACGAGAATGGACATACTAGAAAGTTTATTCCAAAGTATGCAGTGCTATTGAATGAGTCAGCACCTCAAAAAATTTGCTTTTATCGCTATACCGTGTAAAGTTGATCAAAGTGATAGGCGGATAGGTCACAGGTTGAAACAATCGATCGAAAGAACGCATAATGCTGCCTCCCTTTTAATACTACACGACATGAAGCGAATGCTCATTGAATCCACTTTAGACAAACCCGAATCTTCCATTACCTCCTCTTCTCTTTACCTATTTCAATGTACTTGTGGTAGTATGTATGTTGAACTGATAGATGTTTGACTACCCGGATAGCGGGGCATGCACTGAAGAACTTGGAGTCTCACGGGCCTAAGCTTTCATCCAGTTCAATTGCCTGTCATTTACTGGATTGCCAGCAATGTAGTGAACCTAGGAGCGCCTTTCGTGTCTTGCTTCGCCAGAAGGGTATCCGTATTCTACGATTCGCTGAGGCAGCTACTATTCGACATTACAAGCTCGATTTACGTAAACAGACCGAGTTTGTGATCAGCCCCCGAACTGCCCTAATAGGTATCACTGTCCTTCCCCCTCGATGTAGTGATCAACGTTCTTGTCCTTATTACCAATCCTGTGTCATTTGGCCACCCGGATTGATTGATTTCTCTTCCCCGTGTGTGTTCACCTATTCACCTGTCCCCAAACCGGTCACCCTTTTGGCCAAACGTGATGTGGTTGTAGGCCCACAGCTGATAAAATTACCACAAAATGTGACCATCATGATGCTTCGTTTTGCTCTCATGAAACGTTTAAAGGGGGCTTGATGCATGACTGACGTTTGCCTGATAAAACTTATGCATCACAGATTGAGGTCCATACATGTAAGGCATAGTTGTTGACCGGCCCCAGCTACTAATGCATCTATCTTTTGGCTCTAGGTTGCCCGTGCACCTTTTTGTACACTATCCTACTCACATTCTAAATGATAAAGAAAACAAATACACGTCCTTCGAAAATGATGACCTCCAGATTTGCATAACTTCCTCTAATATTTCTTTTCCATCAACGGTCCTGTAATGCGTTACCACCTGGTAAATACAGGTGTAGATTTACAAAAGGGAACGGCGGAACTATCGAGCAAAGTTATTCCGCCTGGTTTTGCTCAGACCGATCGACAATCTTTCAAACCTACTAACAACAGTGACTAAGATTAGAGTAATAACCAAATCCAGCATCCGAAATTAACCTATTTGAAGCCATACGAGGAAATGGATCTCCCTGTTGGATTTATCCTGGAGAGATTATAAACGTCTTCCGGATGTTGTCATTTGGAACAGCTATCGTACGCTGAGTAACCACTGCACCAGGCTGATTCGTGAGGATAAGCTGATGTTCCAAGGGGCGTTAGCACAGAGCTTCATCTCTAACCCTAGGTTGTCGTATAAGCACGTTACCTCAATTCTGAGAGTCATATTTGGTATACCTGCACTAAGCTGCGCTGGAAAAATTGCATCTACTTCAACGAAAGCGGCTGAAATGCTGAAACCTCAGTATTATAGAGTTATACTACTTCAACACAGATTGGAAGTCTACAGCCAACTCCCTGGTACCTTCATTTTCCATATCCTTCGCTGACCAACGTATCACCCACTGCTGAAAACGCCAAAGCAGAAACAGGGGCTTTGCGAAAACTGCAACTCCAGATGTGCACCGTATACACTCGAAATCTCTGATCCTCACATCGCCGAACCATTATCTATTCTACTCTAACGAATGTTCGACCAAGCAACACTCCCACAATGATGGAAACAAGGGGTTATTTCGTCCAAATACAAAGGTGTTTGTCGTAGTGACCCCACCAATTTCCGACCTGTAACCCTTTTTCCGTCGGTATCCAAATTAATTTAGTTAAACCTGACCGATTCCCTGATGGAACACTTCGAAAAATACAGAATTGTTTGAAAAGTTCAATATGGGTTCAAGCGAAAACGATCCTGTTCCATCAACTTGCTTCTTGTTCGAGATGAATGGACCAGAACAGTCTACGGAAGGTACTCGGTGGATGTGATTTATCTGGACATCTTGAAAGAATTTGGTAGGATAAATCACCAAATTTTGTTACAGAAGCTCTATAATTATGATATTATACATTTCGTGTTTCATTAGATTAGAGCATTCCTCTGATAACGGACCATATCGGTTCGTGTTTCTGATTCCCTATCCGGATCTGTCAATGTCACTCACGGTGTCCCAAATGGGTCGGTACTCGGTCCGCGGCTTTTCTTCACATTCATAAATGATGTGCCGAAAGCGCTAGGTAGAAAAACAAAATTGATTGCATACGATACCGAAATCTGGAATACAGAAACACAAACCGAGGGCTCACTAACACTTCAAGAAACACTGAA